TGAACTGCAGAGATCAGGAAGGGAGTTTTCCCACCAACATTACTAATGACTGTATTGTGCCTTAAGATACAGCCCTGAGCACAGAATAGTATATAAGGCACTCAGTGCCAGGAGTAACCCTGAGAGACATTATGCCTCATAGAGATCTCTCCTATGTACAGCTTCTTCAGAGCTTCTCCTCTTGTGTAGAGAGAGGGGTAATCTGCTACATGTTTTTTACAGGCCGCAGCATACTTCCCCACACTTATGTCCAGCCAGATCCACACAGGAGAATGGCGATTGGAGGAGTTCCAGTCTGACTCTAAGTGAAGAAAATAGCATATACTGGGTGCTGGAAGGAACCTGACAGGAATATAATTGCCCTTCCCCTTCTCTACAATATTACCATCCTATCCAGGGCCGGCTCCAGGCACCAGCTTACCAAGCAGGTGCTTGGGGCGGCCACTTCAGAGAGGGGTGGCACGTCCAGCTGTTCGGCGGCAATTCAGCGCATGGTCCTCACTCCTGCTCAGAGCGAAGGACCTCCCGCCAAATTGCTGCCGCAGATCGCAATTGCGATCGCGGCTTTTTTTGTTTTGTTTTTGTTTTTGTTTTGTTTTTGTTTGGCTGCTTGGGGTGGCCAAAACCCTGGAGCCGGCCCTGGTCCTATCTGGATGTAAAACCGAAAATGGTGGTGTATTAAAGTTACAGAGAGAGCTGCAAACTTCACTCATTATGTTTGTTACCTCAAGACTGCACCTCTATTCAGACTTGTTTTGTACTTTTAATACTCTGTTATACTTAGCTGGAATTTGTACTTTTCAGTGCGGTGTTTTTAATGCTAAGCTGAAATTTGTGTACATTCTGCAGGTGAGAAGTAAGTCCCTGAGCCTATGTATCTAGCATGTGACTGAGACAAGGAGGCAGAGCACAGCTGTTCCACTTCTCCCAAAATGTGTACCACAGAAGCAGTAAAAATAAGAACAAAATGGGTCACATTCTTGTTCTCTTCTGAGTTCCTGCTTTGCTATAGGTCTCACAATGGAAAGCCATCTGATGGGCTGGTCATTGGCCTTTGTGAAATGAATTGGTGGTCTCAATCCAATTCCAACTTCCTGGTAGACTCTGATCCTTCACTGTAGCTGGCATGAATTGGCATATTTGTTAGTAGTGTCAGGAGAGGGAGGAAGTGAGAGATTGTAGAAGTCCCTCTAGGTCGGGTGAGAGGCAAGTTGATGAGACAATATTGGTGAGCCTGTCCTACTGTTGCTCATGATGTTCCCAATAAACAGATGGCTTCCATCTTCAAGGCTGTCAGTCAAGCCACATTCCCAAACATGATAGTCACTATAAACTATTTTACAAACAAAATGAAAAGTAATTGCCCTACTCTTTGTGCTTAAAGGATACAAATGGCACAGCTAAAGTATCCACCAAAGACTATATATAACTCATTCTAAAGAATTAGCGGGACTAGCGGAGTCTCCATTTCCAACTGGTTTGCTCTCTCTACCAGTAGAACATGTGTGATTGGTTTGGTTTGGTTATTGTTCTTGTTCCATTGGGAGAAACAAAATCCCTTTGAAACTTTTAAAGTGACTTTATTTAGACTATCAATGAACTCCCTGAGTTCATGCCATAGGAAAAAAATTTACACATATGGGGCCAGATTCAGCCCAGGGATGCAAGGATGCCATCAGCATGAGTCAGGGCCTTCCCAGGTGTCAGAATGTCTGTTCTGAGTGAAGGTACAATGATTCAAGGCACCCACATCCTATACTCCACGTAGGGGCCAGCTTAGCTCCAAAATTACTCAATGCTAGTCAGGAATGGGGTGATATCATTTTACCCTGAAGAGGTACTATACAAGTTCCCAGGTAACTTCTACCTGCAATTATCTTATCGAGTTTGATCCACAGTTAAAGATGTCCTCCTCTAGTGAAACCTCTTTAGCTGACTTCTCCCAGGACTGAATTTCCCTGGGATGCAGCAGTCTCTCTTGGTACAGGGGTATGGGAGAACAATTTGACCGTCTAATACAAACAGAAAAAAGCCCAGGATATATTCATTCTTCCCCTCCCCAGCTGTAGCCCTTGTTGTGTGATCTTTTGCGGTGGACTGTCATACTTGACAAATCACGTGTAAATGTCAGAAACAATACACTATTATAAATTACATGATTTTGCTGTGAAAATAGAGGCCTGTTCTATTCTGCTTAGGAATTTTGGTTCTTAAGACAAACTTAAATCTTGCTCCTTTCAAACACAACTTTTCCATTGGACTAAGTGTTTTAATAAACATTACAAGCTATGTTTTAATACCTCCAAATCCCCCCTTTCCCTTGTTCATCTCCAATTATCTCTGTAAAGCGCATTAGCTTACAAATGTGCAATATATGCCTTTTGTACCACATGTATTATAAGATGAACTGCAGCCATCCAGGATTGCTTCCCACCAGTATGGTGATTCAGAATGATTTGTATGACTAATGTGCTGCCTGTCCCTCTCAGGTACTTTATTTCAGCTTCTTGGCTGCATATCCAGGCTCCATTTTTATTGCCAGCTATCACAGTATTTGAAGTGTGGGTGTATTTCTAGCAAATAATCCACTTGGATTTACTTAGTAAATACCGTGAGCCATGGTTTCGTGAGCCATGGTTTCAGCTCATCTGCAGTTGTTATTACTTAACAATGTGCAAATATCGTGAAGTGTATTTACTTGTTCTTTCACACCTCTTACTGAGCTGCATGTCGAAAGGTATAGGCCACAATTGTGTTTCATACTGTGGCCCATTTATTCTGCTCTATTAGCACAAAATGTCTATAAACGGAGCTTAAATAGTCCCGCAGAATAGATCATGGAGGAGGGTTTTCTCTTGATGGCATAGAGCCAATATGCCTTCCACACCAGCACCCTCCTAGCCCCCGCATAGGGGGAATGTAGGGATTGGCAGGCAAATGATGAGGAAGGAGGAGACTGGCATTGTTTTCAGATTGTTTTGTAGCAGGATAATGGCCCCATAAAGAGCTGTTACAGGTTGGTGCAATAGAGTAACCATGACACAGGCACAAAGGTAGCTCCAGGCTACCTTCCCTATGTCACTCCCCTGCCCCTGCTTTCCTGTTCTAAGGATGGACAAACAGGCATGCAGCATACAGAGCCACTTGGTAAGGCTAATTGTTGATGTGATGGGCTGTTTCATTTTTCAAGTGCTTTATAAACAATATGGCAACTTACACCGTGAGGTAACACACAGTTACCAGGATTTATACCAGGGTAATTGAGCTTAGAGTCTGGCACTTTGAATACTGAGATTATTATTTTCTACACGCTTGTGGGGGGGAAAAATTGCTTGTTGCTGTCTTTTTCTTTTCTGGACCTGCTGAAGTTTCTAGCAGCACTAGATAAAACAGGCATTAAGTCTTCTAGATACCATGGCGGAACTAAGAATCTTTGTTCCTCATTATTGCACAAAATTTTGCAGTCCCCAAGCTGTTATGAAACATTGTACAGGGGTCACAACAGGAAGTACCATCAACAGTGAGTAAATAAAGCCACCCCTTCCTATTTTACAGATTTCAGAACTTCCTTATCCTCCAGTTCCAAATCCTCTTACAGCTGTTGCTCTCATTTATTTATGGATTTTAGTTTTTTCTGTTTTTTGCATGGGCTGCTTTAATGGGACCACCACCTGCTCCCTCTTACTGGCATTCTCTTTTTGCATGCAGGAAAATAAGTTACAGCTTAATCGGTCTCCAAGGAAGACCGTGAAGCCATTGGTCAAAGATCTGCAGACTGCATCCTGCTGCAGCTCTGCAGGAACTGATGTTGAGTCCTCATCCCCACTAAATATTAGTGGAATGATTTCTTCTATTAAAATCTTTCACTAGCAAATCAGACCTGATGCTGTGGCTTGTAACAAGCAATAATCCTATAGTCTGTACCTGTTGACTCTAGCATAGCAATTTAATCAGAATTTGATAGGATTTTGAGGCAATCTGTTTGTTTATAAGCAGAACGAATAAATCCTGCTAAAGTATTTTCAAAACTCAGAAGATAGATTACTTGTGCCCATGCCACATCAACAGCAGAAGCCAAGACAAGAGTCATTATTTACAGATTTACATTATTTGCAGATACTGACTAGCAAAAATTGGGTCAGATCCTGTTCACCTTACTTACATGCATAGTCCCATTAAAATGAATGTGATTACTCATCTGAGTAAGGCAATCAGGGTTTGGCACATTATTTCCAACTCATTTAATATTCCAGCCCCTGATTCAACAAATGTTCTTATGCACCTTTAAGCATGTTTAAACTTAAGCAGCGAATGAAGCATGCTTCAGTGGCACTACTCAGGTGCTTAAAATTAGGCCTAGGTTTAAATAATTTATTGAATAGAATTCTGTTAAAGAATTCACATCTTCGAGGCTTTGTCTTCTCTAGGAAGAAAGGTGTGCTCTTAACATGAGTTGGCTAACATGAAGTAAGATCCTAATGAAGACAAGGCAATTTGTGGTTTTCACAGGCATTAGCAAGTCAAGGTCAGCCCTAGGTTTTCCCATAGTCTTTAATTCAACCTCCTAATGCGTGTGAAAACTTCAGACTCTATACAAACACAAAACAAAAAGACTGTCCCTGCTACTTGATTTTTAAAAATTTTAATAGTGGCTGTTTGAAACTCTAGAGATGTGCAGTGTGTTAGCGTTAGTAGGGAGAGAGCAGGTATGGTGGTTAAAGTACCTGATAAATTTGTTCATCCTGTGGGATATCTACCTCCATATACATGGTATGTATAATATATACATCCATATCTCTATAGTGTGTGCACAATACATATAACATGTATGTGTATGATTATAAAAAAGAAGAACTATAGCTGAGCAGGCCTGCAGCAAATGCTGTTTTTGTCTTATTCTTTCTTGGAAAGGCTGCTCAGAAGAAATTAATAATTAATCTCACTCCAACAGCTGGTGATTGCAGACTGTCTCCCCATGCACAGTGCTTAGTCTCCCGCTTTTGTTTTAGAATTCTGTAGTCACTTCAGCTGGAGTAGCCCTCAGGCCTTACACTGCAAAGCAACCTCTGTATCTCCTGGATTATCTGCTTGTCACTGCCCAAGGCCCGTTGATTATCACTTCATCAAGCAAAATGAGGTAAGGGGATGGGAGAGGGATATAATGTAAGTGTGCGCCACAATCTTCCAAGGTTACTGAGGGGCTGGTCTAAGGTCTGAGCTGTTGATCTAATGATCATTTCTTTGTTTCTGTTAGATGGGACTGTCAAGGCTGCAGAAAAGCTTCCAGATAAATGACAAAGGAACAACACATACCCCAGCCCCCACCATTCAATCACTTTCCCTAAAGGGACAACTGAAAAATAGGGATGTGTAGCAGTTAGGAAGGATCAACCTTCATCAGATGCTTTATATAAGGGATTGGTGGGAAATAGCCTTAGCCCCCACAAAAGGACCCCGCTAAATGAAGTTAGTGACATTTTTAGATTAAACTCTCTAAACAGAATTACAATAGAGTTATAATAATGTGAGGGGACTGAGGCTTAACCTGGAAAAGACAAAAAACATTCAGAGCATTGTAGACACTCCCTTCTTAATTCGTCACACGGCCTCTGAGTAGGCATGTCTTCACTAGCAACGTTAAAGCGCTGCTGCGGCAGCGCTTTAACGTGGCTGTGTAGTCGTGGCACCAGCAGGACCAGAGGATTCAGGGGGCCTGGGGCAAAGCGGGGGAGCAGACATAAAAAAAGGCACCACCCGCGCAGCGCTTGTACTTACCGGGCGGCGCTCCGAGTCTGTGGTGGCGGCGGGTCCTTCACTCACTCCGCGTCTTTGGCAGCACTGAAGGACCCGCCGACGAAGACCCGGAGCAACTGAAGGGCCCGCCGCTGAAGACCCGGACCGCCGCCGGGTGATTAGCCAGGTAAGGGATTCTCGGCCAGGGCTTGCGGGGCCCCTGTGGGGCCCGGGGCCTGGACAAATTGCCTCACTTTCCCCCCCTGCCCCCCCGGGCGGCCCTGCCTCCACGAGGGGTGTAGCTACCAGCACTGGGAGCCATGGCTGGTGCATTGTCTGCACTGCCACTTTACAGCGCTGAAACTTGCTGCACTCATGGAGGTGTTTTTTCACATCCCTAAGCAAGAAAGTTGCAACACTGTAAAGTGGCAGTGTAGACAAGGCCCTGCTTGGCTACATTAATAAGAAAACACTTTAGAAAACTAGATTAGCAGATCCCTTCTATTTTATTTACTGTTTTTAAAGGGTAGACAATGCACGTAAGAGATATCTTACTACAACAGGTCATAAAGTCTAAACTGGGAGGTAAAATGGTGTAGTGGATAGGGCATGGCATTAAAGAGTCCTGGGCTCTATTCCCATCTCTGGCAAACCATATAACATTTTTGTCCCTAGTGTATGTCTGTTCTACAGCTGCTACAGTAGCACACCTACAGCTCTGCATTTGTGCCACTTGTAGCAGTCTTAGTGTAGAAACCTCCTACGTAGACTGAAGGGGTTTTTCGGTCAATGTAGTTAATCCACCGCTCCAAGAGGTGGTAGCTACATTGATGGCAGAATTCTTCCATTGATCTAGCCACGTCTACCTAGGGGGCTAGGTTGACCCAACTATGTTGCACAGGCACAAAACTTTTAATAGCTGTGAGCAACATAGCTAAGTTAATCCAATTTTTAAGTGTAGACCAGGCCTTAGTTTTACCATTGGTAAAATGAGTATAATAATGCTTCCATACCTTGTTAAAGCACTTTGGCTAAGTTTTTTTCAAAAAATGTCTAGTGATTTTAGGGGCCTTGGCTCAACCAGTTTGAGATACCTTATATACATAAAGCAACCATCACTCTGGAAATCAGGCTGCTTTAAGGCATCTCAAGTTAGGCATACAAAATCCCATCACTTTTGAAAACCTTGGCCTTTGGGATGTATGCATGAGAAGTTCTCTAAGTACTAGTATTAAGTAAGAATGTCTTAAAAAATAAAATTCATAAAACAAAAGGCTATGCATGGACAAGTGTGTTTCAAAGGAACCTCAAACTGAATTCCAATCTTTCAGGCAATCTGTATTTGCATGTGCAGACCCGATGACCTGCAGGTATAATATCTGTCTGAACAATAATATCTGAACAATTTTAAAGCCCATAAAAAAATTGGCTCCAAACATTCAAACACTTATTTTTTGTATCATATTGAAAAACATCAATTCAATGAGATGCCCACTTTTTTTTTTAACATTCAGCCTCTACTTATGCAGCAACATGAAAAAAGAGATAGCAAATCACACACAAAATGGTTGAACTCTATAATGCAATCGTGTTTAAAGAAATAACAGCTCTTTCCCAAGATAAACACTTGCCTGCAAAGTTTCAGCTGAAAAATAATCTCTATGGCTGAGTTAATATTTTTTGAATGGAAAGATGCCTCGAAAGGAAATACCAACAGAACCTTTAGCAATAGCAGCCATGTCGTGTGCACTTCCCTGATGTGTGAAGTTATTCGTTGAAATTCAGATACTGCTTTCAACAAATAACTGCAAAATATTCTTTTGTTCCTGGCTATTATTTTTTCCCTCTGCACTGACTAGTATCCCTCAGCAGTTTCAACATTAAGTCTGCTTCTAAGGCTAAACCAAAACCAAAAACATTTAAACTAAATCTACCCAGATAAATCAAATTAGCATGTAAATAATTGGCTCTCAAAGTCAGTGTGTTGCTATTTTAAATACTATATGCAAACTCATGTGATGTTTTGGAGCTTCCGTAAAGACTGAATTTCTGTTGCAAAAATTTCTGTCTCCTTATTCTTTTTACATGGGCATGTACTGTGCAATGCCAAGGGCTTTCACTAATAATATTTATGGTGCAATAAATCTTCTTCCATATCATTTTTGTGGTTGATGTTACCTTTGGTACCTGGACATGTTCCAAAGTAGAATCTACAATTACTCATCCCCAACAATTGGTTTTAATAAGATCATTTGGCTGAATAACTATTTGATTTCCAGACATGTTTAAAGGTAGCACAGGAGGCTGATGCAGTGTTTAAGATCACTTTTCTCCATGGGATCACTATTCTGTCTAACGACATGCTGAACTGATTTTGAACTCTTGCAAGATGGAGAGAGAGAAAAGGGGGTACAGGAGACCAACAGGTCTTTACTACCCACTACCAAATCAGGTGAATGCATTAGTTTACGAAGCAAACAAACAACAACAAAAACAGTCCCCAACAGTGGCTTCATAATCTACACAGGTTCGAAGTTCATATCTATAACTCTTAGAATGCTCAGTCTTTCTATTGTGTTTACTAGGCCTCACCATTCTTACTCTGTCTCCTCAGAAAAATGCCCTTGTTTCCTCTTACACTTTTATGATCTTTTAAATACAGATGCTCACTTGATTAATCATCTACACATCTTCCCATTACTTGCTTTTTGAGTCCAAATGTGGAACTCCCTACCAGGGCAGGAGTGGTAATTTTCTTACTGACATCCCAATAAGTGCTTCATTTTACCATGGGCAATACAACATATGCATCTGCAACTTTCACCTGTGATTTCATCTAACTTCACAAGCTATGCAGGAGTGGGCCAGGTCAGTTCTTGAAGAATGGTATAGCCTTGAGAAAATGCCAGGTGCTGCAAGAAGTACAATTGGCTATTTATTAGGCAATTCCACTGGACCCAGCCTGTTCTTAATTAACCCACCCGGAAGTTAGAGAACACCAAGAAGAAGGAGATGTGCTGACTATTATTGGTCATTATAATTGTATATTATTTTGCAGCAGCCAAGTTTATGCTAGCCAGGAGTTCTCCAAATTCATTGCACCATGATCCCCTTCTGACAACAAAAATTACTACACGACACCGGGAGGGGGGACCGAAGCCTGAGCCCGGTGGCCCAGGGAGAGGGTGGGACAAAGCCAAAACCCAAGTCCCAGCCCCTGGGTGGGTGGGGGCAAAGCTCAAGGGCTTCAGCCCCATGCACAGGGCCTGTAACCTGAGCCCCGCCATCCAGAGCTAAAGCTCTCAGGCTTCAGCTTTGGCTGTAGGTGGCAGGGCTTTGGCCCCAGGCCCCAGCAAGTCTAATGCCAGCCCTGGAGACCCCATTAAAAAGGAGTCACAACCCACTTTGGGGTCCCGACCCACAGTTTGAGAACCACCGTGCTAGGCAATCTATAGCACAGGTAAACTGCGCAAGATCCTTGCCTTGTGGAATAGCTAACGACATGTTCCTGTGTGAATTTTGGCACAGCAGAGGATTTGGCTGTATGCTTTGTTGTGTGTATTTTGGCAAAGCAGAGGGCTTGTGAGCTGCTTGCTCCTAGAGAGTATATAAAATAATAGTATTTAGCAAAGGATTTTGAAAGAGTTTTTTTACTATCCCATTAGCAGTTCTAAAATTAGGGCAAGAATTATCTGAAGAGGATTATTATTTTAGATGTTTAATGTGAGAAGTGAGAAAAGGCAACATGGAATCTATGGGCTGTAAATGCAAAATAGAGGTGGTTTTTTTTTCTTTTTCCCCCAGTGGAAAATGCAATGATGGAAGCTATGCCAACACTACATATTAATTACACTACTGAGCAACAATGGGGACGGGAAGGAGAACTAAGCAAACCCAGCTATAAATAATAAAATTCCATGAAAACTCTAGTGTTA